ATGGGAATGGGAATAATGGGAATGGGATTGGGAATAACGGGAATGGGAATGGGGCTGGGAATGGGAATGATGGGAATAATGGGATTGGGATTGGGAATAATGGGAATGGGATTGGGAATAATGGGAATGGGATTGGGAATATTGGGATTGGGTTTGGGTGTGGAATAATGGGATTGGCATGGGAATGGGAATAATTCCCGTGATGGGAATGGGATGGGGTTGGGAACGGGAATGGGGTGGAAATGGGAATAGAAATAATGGGATGGGGTTTGGGAATGGGAATTATGGGAATGGGAATGGGAAGAGCAATGGGAATACTGGGAATGGGAATATTGGGAATAATGGGATTGGAATGGGAATAATTCCCATTATGGGAATGGGATGGGAATGGGAATAATGGGATTGGGTTTGGGAATGTGATTGGGAATAATGGGATTGGGAATGGGAAGAATGGGAATGGGAATATTGGGAATAATGGGAATGGGAATATTGGGAATATTGGGAATAATGGGATTGGGACTAATGGGATTGGGAATGGGAACAGGGGACCGGGAGCAGCCCCTGGAGGTCGGAGCCGGGTGGGATCGGAATTCCTTCCCGGAAAATCGGGATGGGATGAGAGGGAACAGCCGAGAGCTTTTCCGGAGGAAAATCCCATTTTCCCCGGAATTTGGGAATGGTTCCTGCCCGGATGGGGGCTGGGAATTCCTGGGAATTTTTTTTCCCGGCTGGGCCATCCCGGAATTCCGGGATTTTCCCAGGGTGCAGATCCGGGATCGGGAGATCAAGGTGAACATCTTCGACATGGCCGGACACCCCTTCTTCTACGAGGTCAGAATTCCCAAAATTCCCTCCGGAAAGCCGGGAATCCTTTCCCAACTTCTTATCCCAAGCTTTTCCCATGGAATTCCCTCCCAAATCCCAGCCTGGGGTTGGATCCAGCCCCATCCCAAGGGAAGGAATTTTGGGAATTCCCTGGGAATTGGGGACTCCAGGAAGGGTCTCCCTATCCCAGAATTCCATAAAAATCCCTCGGGATGGATCCGGAGCCTCCTGGATCCCGGAATGGCTTCAATAATTCCCAAATAATTCCAGAATAATTCCCAAAAAATTCCTGAATAATTCCCAAATAATTCCAGAATAATTCCAGAATAATTCCTGAATAATTCCTGAATATTTCCCCAGTAATTCCCAGACAATTCCCGGCTGATTCCCAAATAATTCCCAAATAATTCCAGGTTCATTCCGGATCCAATCCCAGGCTGGGAATGGAGGGAATTCCCTGGGAAAACGGGGAGGGATTTGGGATTTGGGAAGGAATTCCTGGGGTATCCCAAAAAAAACCCCAAATCCCAGAAAATCCCTGGATTTCCTTTCCCAAATTCCATAAAAATCCCTGGGGATGGATCCGGAGCCTCCTGGATCCCGGAATTCCTCGGGATGGGATCCACGGATTCCCAATCCCATCCCATTCCCAACCCGATCCGGCTTTTCCCGGAATCCACCAGCTCCTCCCCCAAATCCCCAATTCCCGCTGGGAATTCCGACCCCGGAATCCCAAAAAACCCCAAACCTCCCCTCCCCCCACTCCATTTTCCATCCCCTCGGCTCCGATTTTTCCAGGGAATTTTTTTCCCTCAAATCCCAGATTTCCCAGGGGCGATTTTTCCCAGGATTCTGTTTTTCCTGGGATTTGTGTTCTTTTTTCCCAGCATTCAGTTTTTCCCTGGATTTGTGTGTTGTTTTTTCTTTTTTCCCAGCATTCAGTTTTTCCCTGGATTTGTGTGTTGTTTTTTCCCAGAATTCCGTTTATTTCCCTGGCATTTCTGTTGTTTTTTCCCGGAATTCCGTTTATTTCCCGGGGATTTGTGGGTTTTTTTCCCAGAATTTTTCCAGGGATTTGTGTAGTTTTTTCCAAGGGATTTGTGTTTTTTTCCTGGAATTCACTTTTTCCCCGGGGATTTGTGTTGTTTTCCCTGGAATTCCGTTTATTTTCCTGGGATTTGTGTTCTTTTTTCCCAGGATTGGTGTTTTTTTTCCCCGGGATTTGTGATGTTTTTCCCGAGAATTTTTCCAGGGATTTGTCTTGTTTTTCCTGGAATTTGTGTTGTTTTTTCCCAGAATTTTTCCCATGATTTGTGTCGTTTTTTCCCTGGGATTTGTGCCGTTTTCCCCTCAGAATTCCCTTTCCCCGCCAATTTCTGTAGTTTTTCCCCAGAATTCCATTTATTCCCCGGGAATTCGTGTTGGTTTTTTCCTGGAATTCCATTTATTTCCCCGGGATCTGTGTTGTTTTTCCCTGGAATTTGTGTTGGTTTTTTCCTGGAATTCTGTTTATTTTTCCCTGGAATTTGTGCTGTTTTTTCCCCGTGATTTCTGTTGTTTTTTCCCAGAATTTTTCCCGAGATTCGTGTTGTTTTTCCCCGGGAATTTCTGTTGTTTTTTCCTGGAATTCCATTTATTTCCCTGGGATTCGTGTTGTTTCTTCCCCGGAATTTGTGTTGTTTTTCCCAGAATTTTTCCCCAGGAATTTCTGTTGTTTTTTCCTGGAATTCCATTCATTTTTCCCTGGGATTTCGTGTTGTTTTTTTCCTGGAATTCCCTTTATTTTTCCCTGGGATCTGTGTCGTTTTTCCCAGAATCTGTTCCGTTTTCCCCCCAGAATTCCCTTTTCCTGGCGAATTCCCGTCGTTTCCCCCCAGAATTCCATCTATTCCTGGGGAATTCCCGTAGTTTTTCCCCATAATTCCATTAATTTCCCCGGAATTTGTGCTGTTTTTTCCCTGGGATTTGTGTTGTTTTTTCCCAGAATTTTTCTCGTGATTTGTGTTGTTTTTTCCCCAGGAATTTCTGTTGTTTTTTCCTGGAATTCCATTTATTTTTCCCCAGGAATTTCTGTTGTTTTTTCCTGGAATTCCATTTATTTTTCCCTGGAATTCGTGTTGGTTTTTTCCTGGAATTCCATTTATTTTTCCCTGGAATTTGTGTTGGTTTTTTCCTGGAATTCCATTTTGTTTTTTTCCTGGAATTCCCTTTATTTTTCCCTGGGATCTGTGTCGTTTTTCCCAGAATCTGTTCCATTTTCCCCCCAGAATTCCCTTCTCCCTGCCAATTCCCGTCGTTTTCCCCCCAGAATTCCATTTATTCCCCAGGAATTCGTGTTGGTTTTTCCTGGAATTCCATTTATTTCCCCGTGATTTGTGTTGTTTTTTCCCCGGGAATTCGTGTTGTTTTTCCCAAGAATTTCTGTTGTTTTTTCCTGGAATTCCATTTATTTTTCCCTGGAATTCGTGTTGGTTTTTTCCTGGAATTCCCTTTATTTTTCCCTGGGATTTCTGCTATTTTTTCCTGGAATTCCCTTTATTTTTCCCTGGGATTTCTGTTGTTTTTTCCTGGAATTCCCTTTATTTTTCCCTGGGATCTGTGTCGTTTTTCCCAGAATCTGTTCCCTTTTCCCCCCAGAATTCCCTTTCCCCCGCGAACTCCCGTCGTTTCCCGCCAGAATCCCATCTATTCCCGGGGAATTCCCGCCGTTTTCCCGGGAATTCCCTCCATCCCGCCCCCGGGGCTGTCCCGGCAGGTGCGGAACGAGTTCTACAAGGACACGCAGGGGGTGCTGCTGGTGTACGACGTGGGCTCCAAGGAATCCTTCGATTCCCTGGATTCCTGGCTGGCCGAGATGCGCCAGGAGCTGGGGCCCCACGCCAGCCTGGACAACGTCGTCGTCGTCGTCTGCGCCAACAAGGTTCCCCTTCCCGACCTTCCCCGCGCGCCTTCCCGCCCCTTCCCCGCGGAATTAACCCGGAGCTTTCCCAGGGGTTTTTTTCCTGGATTTTTCCCGGATTATTCCCGGATTTTTCCCAGATTTTTCAGATTTTTACTAGATTTTTTTTCTAGAATTTTTGGGGTTTTTTTCCAAATTTTTCCCAGATTTTTCCCGGCTTTTTCCCAGATTTTTCCCGGCTTTTTCCCGGATTTTTCCCGGATTTTTCCCGGATTTTTCCCGGATTTTTCCCAGATTTTTCCCAGAATTTCACGGATTTTTCCCAGAATTTTTCCGGATTTTTCCCAGAATTTTTCCGGATTTTCCCCAGATTTTTCCCAGAGTTCTTGGATTTTTCCCAGAGTTTTTCCCAGAATTTTTCCCAGAATTTTTCCGCATTTTTCCCAGAATTTTTCCAGATTTTTCCCAGATTTTTCCCAGACTTTTCAGATTTTTACCAGATTTTTCCCAGATTTTTCCCAGAGTTCTTGGATTTTTCCCAGACTTTTTCCTAGACTTTTTCCCAGAATTTTTCCGGATTTTTCCCCAGATTTTTCCCAGATTTTTCAGATTTTTCCCAGATTTTTCCCAGATTTTTTTCTCAGATTTTTTCCCAAAATTCTCAGATTTTTCCTGGATTTTCCCCAGATTTTTCCCAGAGTTCTTGGATTTTTCCCAGATTTTTCCAGAATTTTCCACAGAATTCTTGGATTTTTCCCGGATTTTTCCCAGATTTTTCCCCAGATTTTTTCCCCAGATTTTTCCCAGATTTTTCCCAGAATTATTGGGGTTTTTTTCCCAGATTTTTCCCAGATTTTTCCCAGATTTTTCCCGTATTTTTCTGAGAACTCTTGGATTTTTCCCAGATTTTTTCTCAGATTTTTTCCCAGGTTTATTCCTAGATTTTTCCAGGAATTACTGGATATTTCCAAATTTTTCCCATATTTTTTTCCAGATTTTTTCCCAGATTTTCCCCATTTTTTTCCCAGAATTACTGGATTTTACCCAGATTTTTCCGGGATTTTTCCGGGATTTTTCCCAGATTTTTCCCAGATTTTTCCCAGAATTACCGGATTTTTTCCAGATTTTTCCCAAGATTTTTCCAGAACTTCCAGATTTTTCCCAGATTCCTCCAGAATTCCCAGATCTGGTTTTCCCACATTTCCCGGTGCTGGGGGGGTTGCACCCCTCCCATCCCCCATCCCTCATCCACAGCATTCCCGGTGTTATTCCCGTGCCCATTCCCGGTGTTCCCAGCCCCATTCCCGGTGTCCCCAGCCCCATTCCCAGTGT